GTACGCGGAGCAATCTGTAGAGCTGGAAGCTGAGAACTGGCGACTTTGTAGTACAACTGCAGTACGCGGAGCATCTGGGGAGCTGGAAGATGAGAACTGACTGGCGACTTTCTAGTACAACTTTAGCGCGCGGAACAACCTGTGGAGCTGGAAGCTGAGAACTGGCCACTTTGAGGAGGAGTCATCTCTCGCTGCTGAGTCAGCTCTCGCTGCTGTGAGTCATCTCTCGCGACTGAGTCATCTCTCGCTGCTCATTTATCTCTCGCTGCTGAGTCAGCTCTCGCTATAGCCATCTCTCGCGGCTGAGTCATCTCTCGCTGCTGAGTCATCTCTTGCGGCGTGCAGGTTTGGCACAGTTCATACTGATAGTATTTGGTTGCATTTATGCAGGACAGGACATTCAACTGCTGGTCAATACACCACTCATCATACACCACTCAGCATACACCACTCATCATACACCACTCGTCATACACCACTCATCATACACCACTCGTCATACACCCCTCTTGTCGTGGCAAAAATACAACCCAGTACGCTGTTGTGAGCTGCTGATCCTGCAGGGGGCACACACCTTACACACGTGGAATCCCGTGGGTCAAAATAAGTCCGGAGCGCGTGCGTTTGACTGGAGGACGCGCATGTTGGAGAGAACGTGGACACTCCTATAGGTCAATTTGTTCTTATAGGAAACTTCCGCCGCCGGCTTGCCCGGGAACTACTTGTAGTGATATGAAAGCATTAGTGTATAGCAGGTCTACAATAACAAAAAACAAACAGTTCAGAGCTATGTCCCCTGTCCAGCCTGTCCAGCCTTACCGTCGGGCGAGCTATGTACAATTCGGCACTCGGTGTGCTTTGGTTTGGACACGCCCAGCGTCGCTCGCTGAACGCTCAGCTAAGCAGCTAGTCAGGGGCCATTGGCTTCGATAATGCTGCCAGCATGTCCTGTATCAAGGTCTCGGTTGAGTCTGGCCGAACACTCAGTGCCAGCTGAAAGTCCCGCAGCTTTTCGGGCAATCGCCGTGGTCCCACCGCTACCTCCTGGTAGCTAAAGGCACGCCCAAGCCACAGTGTTGGGACAAAGGTGCTTGTCTATCAGCGACCACAAACACTTGTGATCGGCCAGGCCATGAGCCGGCCACGCATGCTCCGAACATCGCCCTTCACCTCAGCGAAGACATGGTCCTTTGGGCTCTCACCGTTCCAGCTGAGTCGCATGGTCATGTAGCGTTTTTCATCCAATGTGGTCATTCTGTTGAGACTTGAGACCGTGCCAGTTGCTGGCTTTGCTGGCGATGTACGCCACCTCGCTTTCTGTTGACGCCACCAACAGCCCATTTCTTCCAGTGTTCCCGCTCAGGTGCGCATAGGCATCCTGGATATATATAGCTCCTCGCGGCGCCACTGTAATCACAGTGCTGTGTTTATCGGAGCTCGCCTTGGCGGTAATGTGACGCTCCGAGGGAAATCCAACCTCAGCCTCAGAGTGCGTCAATGAAATTGCTGACCCGGTGCTGCAGCAACTGCGCTTTGGATATCCTGATTTGACCTCATCAGGATTGACCTCACCGGGATTGGCCTCGACATTGACCATCTTTGGGCCCCGAGACAACGGCTGCAATCTAAGCTAAATTGCTCGAGAGTTGCGCTGCAGTGAACACATAATTCAAACGGGTTTTAACCGCAGTCTTGTGATTTTGCATTGACTGTTGCTGATCACGTCACAACTGATGACTTTGCTAGATTGATTGCCTATCACAAAATCAACACATCCTCGATTTGCTGATATATTCGCGTCGCGTCGCGACGTAAACCGCCCGCACTGCAATGTTTGGGTTCAGAGTTTGCAAGAAGCAGAAGCCATCTTAGGCCATGTTGGGTTGGGCCATATTGACCGTGTACTGTATGGCCCTTGCCTGGGGTTCATCGTATTCATTTTTCGACGGCTTTTGGGTCAACTTCAATTAGAAGCCTGCATGGCCTTATTTTCGGATTATTTTGGAAATCTTGTGGGACTCCATTCACTCTGTGTTGCGCCATATTACGCAATCACGGGCCTATGTTGCACTGTAACGGGCCTATGTTGGGCCTATGTTGAGACCATCGTGAGCCTCTTTTCAGCAATTTGTACAGCGCAAAATACACAAGTTTACCTTGCAAAGTCCATATCTGAAAAGACCTCGTTTCAGATACTGACTTTGAAGAGGCCTCCATTCACCATTTACTGCGCCATATTGGACAATCCTGGGCCTATCTTGGGCTATGGTGACCCTATGTTAGGCTTATGTTCGGCCCATTCAGCCACTTGGGGCCAAGATGGGATCTATAAAGCGCAAATTATCCAATTCTAAACCCCTTCTCAAAAACATTGAAAACCACGCGATTCTAGCTGTTTCTGCCCCGTTTCTGTGACCCTATGAGTCAATGAGCCCCTTCACCCTTTTTATCACTCGTTTCAATTTATGTTCAAACTATGTAGACCTTATATGGGCCCCATCTTTCACCATATTAGGCCGTCCTAGGCCATGTTGGGCTATCTTTTTACCCTGTATGGCCTTTGCCTGGGGTTCATCGTAATCAAATTTTGACCCATCTGCAACAATCCAACCTTGAGGCATATAAAGTTTAAACTTGCGACCAGTAAAGCCTAAACGCATCGCCCAGATGACAAAAATCATAATTTTCCATTGGTTTTTCAATGTTTTCTTGCTTTGGCCATGTTGATCAAGTTTGAGCTCACATGTACCTTGCAGTTGGCCATGCTGAGCTTAGGCCTATGTTGGGCCTATCTTGGGGTATGATGGGCCAAGATGGGGGCTATGTTGAGCAACTTACCAAAATTTGACCCATTTCCAAAAACGTTGAAAAACACGCGATTCTAGAGCAAAAAAGCCCCCCCCCTAGCTAAAGCTGAGCTTGCGTATAAGCCATACCAAAAAAAACGCCTCGGCACCTTCGGTGCGGGCGGATTTGGTGTGTAGCGATATCACCCGCTAGTTGAGTGGCTTGTTTCATACTCTCAAAGGTGCTTGAACCTTCACAAGGTGTTTCTAGGTCAAGTTGTCTCGTCTTGTTTAGCTCTTTCTATTCTGAAATACTGTTATTCTTGAGAACATAAAAACAAAAAGCACGTTACTAAAAGAAGGTAATGAGCTACACCAAATGCCAAAGGATTGATTAGTGTCCATCCAATATTTTTGACCTTGTTCATCCACCAGCGGTTTTTGATGGTTTTGATTACATATTAAACGAGTTAAAGGCGTGCTTGTAGTGGGTTATCATGGTGTGATCATGCATTGAATTTGGATATTCCATCTTTGGTTGTTGAACCTCATGTGGATAACACTTTGCAACTCATTACATAATTTACTATCCGAATTTAGAATTTAGAATGGGCCGAACGGTTTCTATCTTGCCCTTTGTATCCTTCACACTTATCTTGGAACTATTTAATTGCCAAATTCTTATACAGTACTTCGTATATGAGTAAAGTTTGTTAAAATCACTTGCTCTGGTGCTAGCAGCTAGCACGCCACAGCCACCCTATGCTCATTGAACCTGTCCTTCGCCGAGAGGAGAGGGTCCTTTTTGAAAACAATGGTCCTAAAAGGTCCCTATGGATTGAGAAGCAAATAAGTAGTGGAAGGATCAATGAATCAATTGAAAATAAGAGGAGTTGCAGTGGAAGAGGATTAATCTTACATAGTTCCTCTTCCCTCTTGGTTAGTCTGTCCCAGTGGCAGTTAGCTCCTTGTCTTCATACTCAGCTTGTCTCTTGCTTATTTTGTAGTGGGCCGCGAATTAATTTTGCTTTTTTGTTTTTCGTGTTTCGTGGCAGGCGCAGTACTTTGTGGACCTTGCAAAGCACATTTCGTGGCAGGTGCAGGACTTTGTGGATGTGGAAGTGCAGAGTTGGTGGCTGGCAGGCGCAGGACTTTGTGAGCCTTGGAGTGCAGATTTTGTAGCAGGCGCAGGACTTTTTGTGGGCCTTGAAGTGCAGATTTCGTGGCAGGCGTAGTCCTTTGTGGCCCTTGGAGTGCGGATTTCGTGGCAGGCGCAGGACTTTGTGGACCTTGAAGTGCAAGAAAAGGCAGACGCAGGACTTTGTGGTTTTGGAAGTGTAGAGTTGGTGGCAGGTGCAGGACTTTGTGGGCCTTGGAGTGCAGATTTCGTGGCAGGCGCAAGACTTTGTGGACCTTGAAGTGCAGATTTCGTGGCAGGTGCAGTACTTTGTGGATGTTGAACTGCAGATAGATAGAAAGATAGAAAGATAAGTGGATAGATAGATCCGCCGACCCCACTCGTGGGGTCAGGCGTGACTGTTGATTAAGGCTAAGGCTACGATTAAGGCTATACCTCCCCTACCCCTCCGGAGCCTTGTTGCAGTGACGAAAAGTAGCCAAAAATTGTCCAAGATTTCTCCATCCCAATTGATTTACATCTTGGGGCACCCTCTCCACCCGCGCGGGAAAATAAGCACGGTCCCTAAGTGGTCCCGGGCTCGAATCCCGGGCTGGTTGCGGCCTGGTCCCTGCCAGTGCCCTCGGTTTTTCCTAGATTTTGTAACGTTTTCCGCTGGGTTTCTAGGACTTTCAAAGGTTTTTGTGAGATTTTATCATGCCTTTTTCGAGGGCTTTTCCAGGATTTTCTATGGTTTTTCTAGGAAGTTCTGTGGTTTCCTGAGATTTTCCACTCTTTTTTGTAAGGTGTTTTCTAGGGTCTTTTCTAGGAGTTTTTCCTCTATGCGCTCCGTGCTCGCATTCTGCAAGCGTGCCGGTGCAGGCTTTTGGGTTTCCAGATTTTCAAAGAAAAATGCTAACCCATTTGCCGTGCTCTCTTCTGCCTACTTTGCGCCGACGCTCTTTTCTAGTGCTGTGCTCGCATTCTGCAAGTGTGCCGGTGGAGGCTTTTGGGTTCCCAGATTTTCTAAGAAAAATGCTAACCCATTTTCCGTGCTCGATTTTTCGAAAAAACCTCTTAACCCATTAAACCTAGGCCATCCACTTCCCTGGGGGTCGGCGGCTGCCAGGCGCTAGCCTGGTTAGATAGATAGATGGATAGATAGATAGATAGACAGAGGAGGCATATTTGCTTGGTTAGAAAGTTTTGCACCGGGGAGTTCACCTTAAAATATTGATTTTCGTGGCAGGCGCGGGTGTCGGGGATGAAGTGCAGATTTCGTGGCGCGGGGGGTGTTGGGGGGGGCCCCCAGCAGCACACCAGATCCAAAGGTGAGCAGCTCGTGCTTGCTTGCTTGCTTCCTTGCTTGCTTCCTTGTTTGGTTTCGTCTCTGCAACGAAAACAACAGGAAAAGCAAATGCAAAAAGAGAAAGGAGAACAGCTGCCAAAAAGAAAGAAAGAAAGATAGATATAGACAGATAGATGGATAGGCCAAAAAGCCAAAAGCCACAAAAGCCACAAAAGCCAAAAGCCACAGAAGCACGAAAGCCACGAAAACCAAAAGCCACAAAAGCCAGAAGCCACAGAAGCCAGAAGCCACGAAAAACAAAAAAAAACAAAAAAGGAAAAACACATTAAATGGCCCTCCTTTTGTAATACAAATGATATACAATCCTGTTTTCTTCAATGGATGCGTAGCCAAAAAAGAGTGAGTAAAACGTTTGCAACTCAAATAATTCCGAAGTAATTCGCGCCAAGCCCCCCTACAATAGATCCATGATTTGGTACCCATTTTTAAGCATTGCTTCAAAGACCACAAAAGATATATAGACTTTTGATTGATTTTTTGGGGTAGCATGAAATCAGGCTATGAATCCAGCATCACACAACTCTGTCCTAAAGACACAGCAAATGCACAGTACTTGTGATTCATTGAAACGGCATGCTTACCCAGTCATGGCTGATCTGTGAGGTGTGCTGCATTTATTGAGGATCCACGCGTCAAGAGCATCTCATCAAACTGCTGAAAGTTCCGATGCCTCTCCTGAATGAAGTAGTTTGGTCTTCGCACACAATCACAAAGCAATTCTTCGCAAAAAGGATCGCAATACGCTGTGAGCTCTAAAGCAGAGCGAGCCTTTTTGGCTTGCTGCTCTGTTGCAGACATCTCCGCAAGCTCGAGAGTCTGACCTAGGGAAATAGGTCTTGAACAATTCCCATACAGCCCCACACCTTGTTGCGTACACATCTAGTCATTTCACAAAGCAAACCAACGCAGCAAGTTTACGCATGCTTGGAGTGCATGTCCTGTTCTTGCCGGAATGACACTGCCATGATCTGCCATGCGTTCATGTTTGTGTAGCCTTGTGTGATCTGCTTGGAAATGTTGGAAGAACTGCGTGCGGCTCTGTTCCAAACTGCTGCTCGCCAACGAAGCTGGGGCAGCCACCATGCATGTAGCTCATGCAGCTCGCATTGTCATAGTAACTGAGCAGTCAGCTACAGCGAAAGACTCTGGCAGTACAGTATCGGGCTGAGTATTAAAAGGTTCACTCAAAACACGCCAATTTCTTTCGCTGCCAGGACAGGGGACACTCCTGTGACACCTTTATCTTGTGAGCTCACAGCCGGCGATTCTAGCTACTTCCTTGCCGCATGCTTCTCACCAATCATCCCACCTTAAATGCTTTCAAGGCAGAACAGTGGTCACAAATTTTGCAATATATATTTATATACTATTCATGATCAGTGATTCATTGTGCTGAGTACAACTTGCACGTTGCTTGACATTGACAGTCGAGCGTCTCAATAGTTTCTACCACTGTAAACTCTGGCTTCTCTCTGGCATCATCTGGAGGATCAGCTGTTCGCTTCTTCCCTGAACATGGAGATGCACATGGCGTGTGCATGTCCAGTGTTTCTTTTCACTGCATCCCGATAACCCCACGCCTCTCTCCTCAACAACTTTTTCAGCCTCAACGTGCTCAACCGGCGGAGGCTGCTTACCTTTGTCGCCTCGGGTAGGCTGCGATTTCAGCAAGTAACTTGCAGGTACATGTCAGACCTCAACGGAGAGAATACTTTCGGAGGTACCGCATTGTCACATCATGTCGTCGATTCCGATTCATGCCAATTCATTGGTTTGTATGGCTAATTTGCATGGCTAAGCCTCTTGGACTCTGGGATCATATGGGATCGGTACATTGACCTTTGATCTAAGGAGAGGTGCCACAGCATATCTACACGTGTTGCACTGCTTTGATCTGAGTGTGCCACCATTCTGTTGAGAGTTTCCTCTCTGGTCCATGGCTCACAGGGACGCACAACAGGAGCCCCTAGTAGCGTCCTTGTTCCTAGTGGCGTCCTTGCTCCTAGTAGTAAGGCCAGGAGCCCCTAGTAGCGTCCTGGCTCTTGATTGCAAAACTTTACTAAAGCCAAGAGCTGCTGAACTGCAGCACCTGTTGCAGTTTTTGGGTGTGACAGGAACAGTGGTGCTGGAACAACTTTTGCGGCATACTGCTCCTAACAACAAATGAATGATGATTTCTGTCAAGTTCACTATTCTGCTTCATGGGGGATTCGAAGCAAACCAAGCAAGAGTGCCGGCACGACACATATTCAAGTCTCGACAACGGGGAGCACAACGGGCTCAAAGCCTTGACATGGACCAAAGCCTTGTCGTACGACACGGGATCCCGCACAAGGTCCGGAGCCACAAGCGAACTTTGGGATAGTAGTGCTCAAACCTCGGTTTCCCAGTGACAGTGACACTTGTCAATCCTACACAGACTTGTTCTTGGGCTTAAAGTTCATTTGCAAGCGCCACCACGCAACAGCTGAGATTTAAAGAAATTGAGATGGTGACACGTTGGACACCAGGAGCCGGAAAAGCACGAAGATTCTGCCCAAGTGAAGTGGGATTGACAAAGAACATTAAAAAATCTGGCCTTGCAGTACAGCCTTTGCTTCGAACAAGCATGACTGGCTTTGATGCGACAGGGTTGCTGCATTGCAAAACATTGCAAACGAAAGAGTCATGCTCGATCACGCTAGTACATCCCACACAAAAAGAACAGTCAACTGCACGCACACCCTAATTGCGCTTGCATATCCAGAAGGCATTGGTCTCCTGAGTGCAGGTTGGCTTGGAGCCCGCTGTATGTCTTGCTTGAATGGCCCAATGTCTTGCTTCAGAATCACTGGATGCTTATTTTTGTTGGTTTATTTCATATATCTGCAATTGTTTCACTCTGAGACATGTTCTCAGGCACTCCATTGGCTCGGAGAAAAGCGTCTGGTGCCTCAGATCACCAAACTCTACTACTCTGCCCTGAGTTGCCCCAGTTCTTGTTCTCACAAAATCTCAGCACTCTGACTCCTTGAAAAAGGCCACGTAGTAAAGGGCAAAGAATGAGTTCATGTACTTGAGCACAGCTCCCTGCAAGCTTTGACGCACTTTGCTATCGTCCACGAAAGGATCAAAACTTGTGAAGTGTCTCACCCTCCCCTCTTACAATCAGTCAGCCTTCCAAAGAAATGCTGTTTCGTACTCAGTCTGAGTTCGGTGATTCTCGTGGTCGGTGAGGATGCGTGTGAGCCTCCACAAAGAATAGAAACCATGTTTTTCTTTCATTTTATCTTGTATGGCAAGAGCTTGAATACTCACACCGTCTAGTGGAATTCATTCAAGTCGGCAAACAGTCCAATCTTCTCCGTCAATCACTCCTTGCTTACAACACGTCGTCTAGTAACTGTCCAAAACTTGGCGGTCGACAGAACAATCCGAGACTGTGCAACAGCAAGGGGCGGGACCCTAAACTCTCTGAGCCACGGGCAAATCAAGTCCTGCATTGGAAATCTCCACGTAGGCAGCTATTGCAATCTGAAACCCGACAATGTGGTGATGCACCTGGGCAAAACCGATGTTTCTTCAAAACCGGAAAAATACAAGGGTGATTGTCTTTAATCTAATGAGTGTGCATAAACAAACCATGATCCATTTCTACGCACTGACGCGCATTGTTTTTGTGATTTGTCTGCTCCAAGTGGAAGTTCACGACGGCTGGGTGTTACTTTTCATGAACTCTTTAAACATGACATCGCGGGAAAACAATTCCTTGAAATGAAGGTGTTTGGTGTTGTTGTTTTTTGTGCAAGAGTGCACAAATGTTCTGATCAAAATCGCTGAATCGCCATTGTGATGGTGTATTTACTGTAGAACACCTGGGTTGGAGACATTGTTCTCTGTCAAATGAAGCAACATCTACGTTCTTTGCTACAGTTGGGTTGTGTCCACAAGTGTTGCGTGTCGGCGCGGCACGCTCTTTGTCGGAAAGGAAACTGGATATGGCAAGGTAGATGCTGGTACAAAGGCATGGGTGAAATTTCACAAGCCGAGCTGTTGGCTTCTGATTTGATGTTGTGCCGAATGAGGAGCAAAACGAGAATGCAAAGGACCTTAGCCGCTGGGGCAAACAACTCCGCAGGCAATGGCAATCTGACGCGTCCATTGTCAGAGTTTCAGCGCTATCTTCACCGCAAGGCCCCGGCACACACACAACCAGCAAGGCTCATAGCTGCCATACTGATCAAGTACCTGCGCAGAAACACATCCGAGCTTAGAGAACGAAAGTGGTTCCAAACAAACAAATGAGTCTTCTTTATTTAATGCAAAACAAATGCAACAAGTTGTCGGATGTCCTGATTTAAAAGAACAAAGACCTACTAACCTTGGCCATCCTTGGCCCATGTGCCAGCTTCCAAGGCTCTGTGCCGCGCAAAGTTCATAAACTAGTAGCTTCTCGTTACTAGTAGTAAGGCACCTCGGTACTAGTAGCGTCCTTGCTACTAGTAGCGATGCACCTTGTTACTAGTAGCCTTCTTGTTACTAGGATGAACTTGTCGACTTCTACTTGCAGTACTGCAAAAGCAAGTTCCGAAGGTTGGTGCCTGCGCTTGCAAGACTCACCCACACCTGAAGCCAGCACCAGTTGCCGTTCAAGCTGCCGGCAAAATCAGGGGCATGCAGGCGGGCTTCTTGTAAAAGTGGACCTCACCTACCTGGAGACTGTTGAATTCTGATTCGCAGGGCCGTGTACGCGCACAGTGCAGAAGTCTTTGGCGCAAAGTGCTAGGCCGTAGCTTTTGACCAAATTGAGGGAGTGAAAGTACTAATCCAGCGGACCCACCAGCCGGTGGCAATTGGAAATGCTCCGAAAAGTGTGTAGCGACTGAGACTTCCTCACAAGCAACACTGAGTTGTCTACGCGTTCGTGCGGGCAAGAAGTCGTGACCCAAGCGATAACCAACGCACAGCCCAGTCATGTGGTACAGCAAGGCTTTTTGGATGGTGAACTGATTTCGGTGAGGGAAGGTAGGGTCTTTCTTGTCACCACGCCAATGCTTCTCAGAGCTCCAGTCTTTCAGTGGATGTAGGCGACCAACTTCTCAAGGTTTTTTGGGGTTTGCCGACCTCTGTCAGTCTCAATGATGATAGGGCTCACAGGCAGATTGTTCTCACAAGCGAGCGTGACAAGCCATAGCCACACTGGGCATGCTTGACATCTGCTTCATTGATTGGGACTCAATGGACTCAATGACCCACTAGAAGGACCTACCTAGATGTGTCCTCATGGCTCAGCTGGAGCAAAACATTAAAAACGATGCCAATGGCCTCTATATGCCTCTATTTTCAAAGGGCGCAAATCACTCTACTGTACAATAATTCTACGGCAACTCAACAAATACATCGCAGCATGCGCGGAGCACTTGAAAATCCGCTTCGACAAGGGGTAATGCGGCTCCACCTCACACAGTGTAGAAATGACAGTATCAATTGCATGTGACATCAAACAAGTCAACAACTTTGTTCTGTTTTCTTTGGTGTCATTAACAGACCCACTCATCACCACTCACCCCACAGGATGCAGAGTTGACTCACAGTCGAAATGATGCAAGTATGTTCCTAGAAGCAAGACTCGGGCCTGTGAAGTGACAGGGTTGATGAGTTGCTCACCCCAGTGCTCTGGGCGGTGCGGCTCCAGTTGTTCTACCTCATTCGTCCACGCGTGCAAGGTAGCAGAACAGGTCCTTCGTCTATGTCAGAGTTGTGGACATATCACAAGTTGTCACAAGCCTAATAATACGATACCCACGTCTTTAAATCAATTTGTAAATTCACTCGTTGGTCACATGCCGTCTGTGGTGTTGTCTCTTTTGGGCCCAAATGATGGCACTGAATGATGCCAACAACGTCCAAGGCTGTAGCCAAATCCAAGCTGCCCCAGCTGATGGCATATTTTGCCTGAACAAATGCACTGGATGACATCCAATGTGCAGTTGAACAGTGTTTTTAATATTGTACGAATTGTACAGCAAACCTCCCTTCAGCAAACAACAATTGCCACTTGCCTCTTGACGGCGCCAAAAGTGAGGCAAAGCCAGGCACCAAACACTCATGAGTACCTCACACACACAAGCATTGTGTGTCCAAGAGGCCAGTAGTTGTTGGACATCACACTCGAATGGTGATTGGTGGCCTACCACGAGTTGCCTTCTGCGTGCGTTCTGCGTGCGAGTGCATGAGCCAAGAACCAGAAAACATATGGACAAGACTTCGTGGTGTTCACAGACCCTCAAAGCAAACTCAAAGACAGGAGCATGCGCACGCAGAATGGGATGGCAGTTGGATTGTCAGGTGTTCGGGCCTCAGTATAGCTGTACAATGAGAAAGTACTGATTTCCTCTTGGTAGCATCTCTGCCTACATGCACAGCATTGCATAGCTTCGTGTAAGGCTGCAAACGCACCAGTCAATGAACTGCAGGAAAAGGCCTTGCTCACACAGCTGCACGGATTTCGAAAGCCGTTGACAGCCGTCTGGTCTAGTCCAGTCAACCCAACCTAGAGCTGCCAGTGGCATAAGCCACTTCAAGTAGAAGGCCATCCACAGGAAGTAGAAGGCGATCTAGGAAAGCTCAGGGAATGTCGTTGCATATTCTTATATTATTTGATAGAAAGTCTCCGCCAGCCTTCAAAGAAAACATAATCCAACAAAAACTGGAGCTTTGAAATGTTCATACACGAATCGAGTGGAGCAGTGCTCTTCCAAAGAACTTTAAATTATAAATTGCGTAACGATAGTGTTTTTGTGATAAAGGATTCTGAAATGTTCTGATGTCCGAAACGGTCCTGAAGTGTTCTTGTCAGAGAATGCATGTGTTCTGCTGAAAAAAAGACTTGAATGGGCCTTGTCTCCGAAGTAGTCCCGCAAGCGGTTGGCATGCTCTTCGTCGGGCCAAAACCACTTCCACTGGCAGAGTCGGCTGCTTGTCTAAAAGTACTTCGATCAGAATGACAGTACAAGGCTGGGGGGCCATAAATCTGAATGTTCAGGAAGGGATGTTCATCAAGGTAGCCAATTGCACAAGGCAGTTTGCAAGAGTTCCATCTTCATATTCTCTAATTTTGCTAGTCTTTATTCATTGTGACGGGTGCATCGAAAATCAATACAACATCATCTCGTTAGGTGTTCCCCCTCACCTGAAACTCCTTGATCTTTTCAATGCCTTGAGCGTCGTGGATCGGGAAGTATGCCTCAAATCATGTGCTGGGACGCCTTTAGCCCATATCATGGACGGCTGGATCAGTGTGTGCCACCATGTTCAACTTGTGTCCGTTGTGCAGCCGTGTGTGCCTTCAGCTCACCTTGATGCAAGAGTCGTGACGGATTGATGCCTGTTGTGGAGCGCAAATCGCAAATCCCAACACATCGACAAACAAAACCTACGCAAGGCCTGCACAATCCTTGTCTTTGGATTGGATAATGTGGTGGAGCAAATCAATCCTATGGATGAGAAATATGGCACGAGCTCCCAGCAAGTCTTCATGACAAGCACAAGCGTATGAATCAGGTCGAATGTTCAATGTGATTCTCCAAGACAACATGATTTTGGCCAAGCCAGCCACTTGTCCGAAATCTTGAAGATACTGCTACCATCCAGAGCATCCTGCCAGGTGCTCTACAAGCCCGACAAGACAGTCATGGACATGGCAAAGAACATGGACGCCTCTGTATGAGTCTGGTAGATGTGCGAAATGATCCGCCGATCATTGAATCGAAACTCAGGCCTGCTTGCAAGTGCATGCCAAATCATTGACAAACGAACAACGAACCTGCCTGATCCTGCCAAACAAAGTTGTTTCGCAATGGAATTGGTTTTCTGAAGCGAACTGGACCAAGTCGACAAGAACATTTAGTGCATCACTGGGGTAGCTTGCGAACAGAGTATATACTCGTTTACCTTCAAAGAAAAGATTCGTGCCAGGTGCGCATCTGTATTGTATATAGTCAAATGATGTCAAATGGGTATACACTGTGATAATGTTCCACCAAGCCAATGACCTTCCAGGATAGTCATGCCGGAACTCCGCATAGGCGCTGAGATATTCCTTCATTCAGTGAAGCTTGCTTTGTGTCAAACAGCTAAACTGAATGACAGTAAGACAAGAGGTGTGGGATGTATACATAATAGTTGATACTATACATGATTGCCAATCTACTAGAAGGATCTAGAAGGTGCATTGTCCAAACAATACTGTCCAAGGGAGGCTCTCATTGCTTGGCGCGTGACAGGCCCGTGAGTTGTGCGAGACTCTGGTCTGCTCGAAATCCCAGCCAAATCAGGGTGCAGACTTGCTTAGCAATGTCTGTTGACCGCAAGGCAAGGCGTGATTGCTGTAATCAACATCCATACATGACGAGGAGAACAGGACCTGGGTGATCAATGCAGGGATTTGGAGCAGGCTCAGCTGAGGAGCGCACATGTCCAACGTCATTTTGTTCTTACAGTACAAGTTACACGAGGATATAGGAGGTGGTTCGCGCAAAAGCAACTCTATTCTTATACACTCTTCATCAAAGAACGTGCTGTCACACTTTTTCTTTGACTTGGGGGGGCCTTGTCAGAAGTGCAAGGACTGGTCAGAGTGAGGGAGATGAAACTACGTTTATCCCACTGCGGCAAATTGTATAACCCTTGCAAGACTGTAAAAACAATATATTTCCGCTTGGTCCAGGTGCATGCAAACACAACCCAGGCACTAACACTAACATATTATAGACTGCGTGAAGTGGTTGTCATACGTCTCCATATTGGATATCTATTCAACCTACTTTCATTGCAAAGGGTGCGCAGCAGGGCACCAAAAAAGGGAGACACATGCAAATCTTTGGCAACGGAAAGAATCAAAGCATCACAGCCCCTTACCACCATCATTACACAATAGCTTTTCTTTAGGGGCCCCCCATTTAAGTTGTCCAACTGAAACAACTCCAACCTCCAACGTCTGTATATTCTGTCTTGTTTCAGGAACAAATCTGTGTTTTATCATGAAAACAATAGTCTGGGACCCCTGGGCCCTAAGGCACCACAAGCTTCCTCAACTAAAATAGTACCTTGTCTCAAACACTGCATATTGCTTCTAGCACGTGCACAGTCCTTCTTCATTTGCAGCTTGTACCGCTTCCTGTCACGACTCAGCAATGGCAAAGGTGGACGAAATATTTGACCAACATATGCACTTTTCATAGCTGCATGTTTCGAGTGGTTGCCTTGCTGCAGTGTCCCTCAGCTTCTGGGCAGATGCTCCGATCTTGACCTTGGCAAAGTGAATCCATTCAGCACTTCTGGTCCCTACCCACAGAACTTTTGATAGCCAAACCGCCAAACCCAAACCGCCTAAGTCCTCAAGTGCTGCACCAAAATCTGGTCTCTATCGCGGCTGTAAAAGCAGAAGAGGTGCAAGCCGCAGTTCTGCGCAAGGCCGTGCTTGTTTTCACTTTGATGTTATGTGAAGTAGGACACATTGCAAAGTTTTTCAAGATCGAAGCACTTGCAGAGTGCTCTTGGTCCTGCAAACTCTTGAGGATGGACTCCCGGTGCTGCTTCCACATCTGTCAGGCAAAGCTTCGCTTCAAGAAACCAACTGGGGACCAATCGGACACCTGCGGGGTGCACAGCCTCCTGCTTCACTCTATTTTGGATTGGCAGATGTCTTCTTGCGTTGCAGCCTCGCCGGCTTGGTTGAAGTCAGCCTGACTCCAATGAGACCGAATTATGGAAAATGTGAATTCTGGCGTTCTCAAGGCTTCTGGAGCATTAAGACTGCTAACATACAGGGTGAAACCTACATATGCGCTCTTGATCCAGATTGCTTTGCAGTCCTGGAACCCTGCATCTACACCTAGAAAAGCAAGCTGAGTACTTTGAAAAATCCAATGCATACACAAGCAGTTGATTTCTGAAGCGCAAGCCTTTGGCATCCTACAAAAACGTACTCAAGCTTGTTCTTGCTAGGAAAACGCGGAACATTGGCTGATGGCCACCTGCTTAAAGCAGGGGCATGTTTGGCCAACTGTGTACTGCAAGTGCAGTAGTGAACTTTTTTCCAGCGTTTCTTCGACGCGTCTTTGGGATTCTAAGGCATGGAGAGCGTACAGTACGACATTGCATCAAAAGTAGTATCCATAATTGAATCTAATCTCTTATGATGCAAGAAACACACTTTGGCTGACCTTCAATGCAATGTTCGTTGCATGCTCACTCTGGCAGCTGAGCCAGGTCATTAAGCTAGCACTGAGTGCATCAAGGCAGTCAAAGCTCTATATCGAACTTGATGTTTGTAGCAGCATGACAGGCCTCAAAATGAAAACAAACAAGCGATAGGTTTCAATGGTGAACCTGGAAGACACTGCTCCATGAAGAACATAGCTGCAGCCAAGAGTCTGCTCTGGCTCCTGGAGATTCTGCCACCTGGGTAGGCGTATTCTTAGCATAGCATAGTGTCAAAGGCTCCTTCTCTCGGTTTGTAAAAGGGCATAGTAAAAGGTGTTCATGAATATTCCAAATCCTAGATTTGCATTGGGGTTGGAATAGTAAAGACCTCTCAACTCTTTGGTTTACTCCTGTCTTATATATTTCCTTCTTGGCTTTCTATGGCTTATTAGCACCGCTCCTTTGATCAAGCATCAGTTTACTACTGCTTTTGCACAATGCCCAGGCTCCAGTGCAAGGGGGTTGTTGACAGGCACCCTGGAGTCGTGTTGGTTTTTTCTTTTTTTTTCGAATTGTTCAGTTGCTCGGAACATACAATATATATAACTACAAATACAAAATAGCATGGACTTCAGTAAACCTATCGACCTGCAATGTTACAAGAGGAATTCTGTTTGCTTTCATTTGCTGCTGGACTCCATGGAATTTGGGTTGGGGGAGCTCATGGTAGAGCGTGCCCGAATTGTGGTGCAGGGGCGGATGCTTGCGGTCCACAGTGTTCGCAAAAACAACCTGGCAACGTTGGTTCAAAGTCTGTCTTCCCCTCGGACTCTCACGTCTCTGTGATCTCCAACCCGAGAGCCTCAATGAGTGAACGGTTCAAAGAACATCAACTTGCTGTAGAATCTGTAGAATCACCAGAACTGCTTCTCAACCAAACTGGGCAAATGATTGAAGATAAAAACATGATAAAACATGTCTTCGTGGGCAAAAAATGGCCCCCGACCCTCCGCAGCGGCTTTGACCTCAGCACATTCGGTATCGCATGCTGCCACCCTGGGTTTCGCAGCTTGGTGCCTCTGGAAGCTCCGGCAAAGCCTTGGAGGGGGAAGGCTTGACATGGCTTGACAAGATATCATGCTGTTCTGAAGAATCTTGTTCCACAACATTTTGCCTGAAAGCATCATGCTGAATCATGTCTTCTGGAAAGTCGCTGGACTTTTGTGAGCCTAAAGGCATTCTAGACGTAATATCGTGAGTATATTATAGAAGCAATTGCAAGTATCATCGCGACAACCCTCGCGGTTCTGTGAAGCAAAGGCTGCGACGTAGGACTTGCTACGAGACCTCCGCACTGACCTCCAAGGGCAAAAGGTCTGTCACCAATTACTAGGAGCAAGGACGCTACTAGGAGCAAAGGGCCACGCTACTAGGGGCTCCTGGCATCGCTACTAGGAGCAAGGACGCTACTATTCTTGCTGATTCGCTGAGCACCCTTGAGGCGACAAGAAGCCATACTGAGCCCTTGGCACGAACCGCGGCACGGGCATCATGACAGCGCTCGCCTGCAGGAAGCCGTTCAAATGAAGCTCGAAACAGACGAGTCATATTCCATCAGATTCTTTCTTCTTATTCCTGTAAGAATGCTCCCAGTAGCGATGCCAGGATCCCCTAGTAGCGTCCTTGCTCCTAGTAGTAAGGCCAGGAGCCCCTAGTAGCTTCTTGTTCCTGTCTTTTCGATTTGAGGTGATCTCGCACATTGTCTCAGCTCACAACCATGACTTTGGGCTCTTTGTCCGCAGCCAAAGGCCGGCCTTGCAAATTGGGAGCGCGTTCGCATTTCCCTACCAAACATGCAATGGCAACGGTCAACACAGCTAAACTTAACGCTGCATGGATCTGTTCGAAAAGTAGTGACCAAGAACGCATTGCAGTTGGTTTAAGGCCAAGGCTGGAGGCTTTCCAGGAGGCCAAGGTGGAGTTGTAGATACCTCTGTCAATGAAAGCTCTTGAAACGCATCCGCATTGACACGTTCAAAAGAAGATTCAACCGGCATGGAAACGGGCTGTGACTTGAAAGAAGACAAGTCTCGCATCAGTAGGTGAAGGGACTTTGTGAGAGCTCTGCCGTAGGAGGAAGCAGGGAGAACTGTCACTGTAGGGAAATTACTGGGAACCAAATCCGTTGCGAAGCAAATTCTGTGGGCTTGAAACTCGGCAGAGACAACAAAAAACCCCCTTGAAGATCTTGAAGACCAGGTTTTTGGACCCTCCAAACACTACACTTTGGCTGTCTGCATGATGTATTGTTGATATTTTAAGATGTATTGACAATTTAGCCTCGCAAGTGATCCTGCCTCGCAAGTTGACAGGCGTTCGTGCTTGGCGGCTGTTGGTTTGAGGTCTTCGGCCCGATCGCTGTGAAGGCAGCCTGGAGTCATGGCAGCATCTTGGAAGTTCCAAAACAAACATGAAAAGTAACTATTATTATTGCTTATGTTTGATTTGCGCTTTTGCCAGCTCATAAGAATCGAAGATCAATCGTCTTTGTTGACACCAAAAGGATGTCTTCAACGAGACCCCCACTGATCCCTCTTTGTGATGGCCTCACAAGCTTGACTCAACACTGGTCGTTGCCGAAATTCCGGCATTCGAACGTGGCACACGGACCAAGCGCAGTGCTGCACTGAGTATCTCAGATAAAGGGCCAGGTGGCTTGCGTCCTGAGCTCTGATTGCATGTTGTACCATGTTGGACCCAAGCATATGCTTCCTTTCCGTGAGGTGCAGGCGGCCCTCCGAGGTGCACATGGTTCGAGCTCCGCACCTCAAAGGATTGAAAGCTGACACTTCGGTCTTTGGTGCACAAAGCCAAAGCTGAAAGCTCCTCTTGCCGTGGTGAAACTCTGAATCTGCAAACTTAGATTCGCACTCCCCCCTGGATAACTGGCAGCATGCTCGATCTAGACTTTTGCCTGATGTCGTATGGAGAATGGACCCACTTGTTCACGCTGCCACTGAGCACATCTCTCGAGCTAGGCCAAGTGCAGGCTAAATGTTGGCTCCTTGATTACACCTCATCCAGGTAGTGGGCCCGCTATAGACTTGTGGCTTCGGCTTGTGTGCTTGACTTATTTTTGCAGATGTGATGTGTGCTCTGACTAGGTCCTTGACCTGGCTGAATTGAAGCAGACCTGAGCTGTTCATCAAGCAGCAAGCGCAGCGGTGGAATGTATGGAGGCGGGCCTACGGAAGTCAGTGCAGAGTTGCTCCTGCCAATGCATCCAGGACCACAGTACCAAAACACACTAAGGACTCAGGACATTGCACGTGCAATTGCAAAATTCCTCCCAAATGATCTCCAAAACCTAATTACAGAAATGGACGATTTGTAAGGGAACCATTTAAAAAGCTTACATCTCCTCACAAACCTCTGGATCACGAAAGCATTCCAGCCTCAAACATGAAAAACTATGGTGACAAATGAGCACCGCACACTGTACCGCACACTACTTTTGGTCCCCAACATTCTCTGCAGGGTGGCATCATCACCAAACTCTTCAGTTAGATGTGCTCGCCTTAGGCCCATAAGCTGCTGGCCCTTGGGGCCCTTTGTCTCTCTGTCTTTCATGCTCTGAGGTAGTAGCAACAACTTTTCTAAATCCGAAACTTGGAGATCTGGTAAGGCCTCATGGTGACTCACGTTCTATTGTTCACACAGAAAAGTGCTCAGGCCTTTAGCAAACGCCGGCAGTGCTTGTGTTGAAGCAACGAAGCAGGAAGACCTTAAAAGTCAGTCAGCCATGGTCGGCATTCTCTTACAAGAATGATCACGAATGCCAGGAAAAAGGAAGAAAGGTCTAAAGACAAGGTCAAAAGGAAAGAAAGAAAGAACGAAAGAAGACAAATCCTCATGATGAGACCCAATGCAAATTGAAAAGCACGGGATCCGGCGCTTGGGGAGGCTGGATTGATCTCCTTGGTCACAATCACTACAAACATTAAAAAACCACTGTACGGTACAATCAACTACTGTATATTGATTGTAGGTTCTGAGATTCTATGCATCATATTAACAACGGCCCCGGTGGAAGAGTCCATGAGTCTTGCACCGGATGCACGCCGCGGGCCAATGACTCTCTCCTTGCAGTTGTCAGCATCAGCAGTGGCATCATTGTCACTGCTTGGAAGCGGCTGCGCTTGCAACAAAGGAATTGCTGACTATGTACAGTGAGGAACTGCGACAAGAAAGTGCTCAAGAGCTTGACGACACTTGAGGCCCAGACATGGTCACCTTGTGCCTGTGCAAGCTAATCTTATCAAGCTTTATGGGTTTTGATTTCCAAATTGCAAATCACAAACCGCAGAATGATGCTTTAGTTTTGCCCTTCCTCATCCTGCTGTGCTTCCCTAGTTATATAACCCTATCTTTCTGAATGGATATCAGCCAAGGAAGTGTCTGCCTCTCGCCAGGCCAAACGTTCCAGAAAGTCTAGGCTTTCTCGGCCTTAGACATGAAAACGACTCTGCTGATTCAACGGTGCACCACAACTCAGTGACATGTTTGCCACGCCACGCGATTGTCGGGTTGGCACGGCTATGGAATCCAACCAAGGTTGAGGCAAACTGCCGTCATATCCTCCACCAAACATCCATTCTCTGAGATCGCCTGATTCTTGAAAGCCAAAAATTCAAAGCTTGGTGACAAGATCTTCGCTGGAGCTTGTCTTTGTTGGCCAACACAAGCTTTGGTTGTCAAGCTGGTTATTTCAACTCTGGCCTCTGGAGGAATGAGAGAATATTTGCTCAAGCTCGCTAACTTCGCAGCAACCTGAATTCCGACCGCGGAGGGAAGCAGCGATCGGGGTGAACGCTTTACATCGAGCTTTGCACTTTGGGCAGGTGGCGCTGAAACTTGGACAGCCGTGCATAGGATGCGCTTTGTACCTCACAATGTCATGGAGACATGGTCACATGGCCATGGACCTCGGAATGGAACAGTTCCGAACGATCGAGCTCGTCGAATGGCACCAGACGAGCACGCCCAGCAGGTCCCAGACTGTCACAAGTGGCCTCAACCCATGACACAGACCAAGGTTCACGGGAACAAAGCTTGGCGCATGGTAGAACAAAGACAAAAGCTTGCAACCATTGCGCCTCCATGCGGATCAGATATTCCATCAAAAGAAGGCCTTGGGAAGCGCTGAATACATTTATTTTTGTGAATGAGAAACCCAAACGTGTGAAGCTACCAGGCGGGCATGCACGCTTTTCTCGAGGTCGTCTGAGCAAAGGGCGAGATCCACTTAAAGCAGTAGATTGCATGCCTTAAGACTGGATGTTGCTTTTCAGCAGTTGATGTCAGCCAATTGCCTTGAGCATGCAGACTCTGAGGCTTGATCAGTCACTTGCACTTGAAGATGAATCTTCTGCCTGTTGATCACATGAGCCATCGCAGCCACGTGTAGGAAAGATAGTAAAGGATTGCAAGTTAGGAATGAACATTCAGGCACCAGGCAGGGTACCTGCTCATCTGAGTGTTCTCTTTGCTTCTGCTTGGTCTGCTCCTCTGCCACTCTCTTTCTAAGACAAAGCACTAAAGCCAGACAAATTTAGTAGGCAATTATAGTGGCCAAATTAACAGTCCTCCGCAAACTCACCAGCCTGAGTTGGACAAATCAACCCAACACATGACACAAACCGCGTAAAGGCTCCTTGAGACTTTCAGAATGAGGATACAAAACACCAACACGACCAGAACCCCAACATCCAAAGCCTTTACGACTGAACTTCTTCTGGAAGTACCTGCGCGGCATAGTGCCCCCAGGGAGTCTAGCAATGTTGCTTGAAGGCTAATGATTCTAATGATCTAACCTCGAGCTTTAATTTTGCTGTAGAAAGACACATGCAAGAGGCCTCAGTGCCTGCTCTAGTTTTATTTGTTGGCAGTCTCTTTTCGGTGACAGCAACCTTGCCTGACAATGCACCCAGCGCCCGCCATGCCGAGCTAAGAGCGGTCTGCAGGCACGGCCAATTGAAGCTGAATTGTTCAGTAAAAGCCCGAAGGAATCCAAAAGGCAAATGGCTTGCAACTGCGTAGTACAACTAGGTCCGGTCCCTTCCCTTGGTCTTATGCGTACCTTGATAGAGTTTGAGGCCCCAATGTCATCCACCCTCTTGGCAAAACCTGAGTTTGCCTGCCTGACGCAGCTCCGTTTCCACTGTAGGGTTCACAGCAGCAGGAAGAGGCTTTGCGAAAAAGGCGGGTCTGGGATCCTGCATACAAAAGGAACCTAGGCAATCTAAGCCAATGTGATTTACTCAGATCCTGAAACCTCATAGAGCTGTGAAGGTACCGTAAGTACCGGAACATCAGCTAATTAAACTGCTTGTCTTATTTACATATAGACGCTCAAAGAATACAAACGAACGAATGACATGATCCTTGCTGAAGCCTTGCTGTCCTTCCAGGTGATCGGACTTGAAGCCTGCAAAATGGTATCCAGGTCTGCCACCACGCGGTTCCGCTGTTCTATTGGTTCTTCTGTCGGCCAATCATCCACGTCATCAAGAAATAGCTGGTCTAACGTCTCCCTAGAAGATAGTCTTTTCACCTCTGTGATAGATCTCGAAGGATACGGACCATAGAGTATGGACGCCAGCATCTGAGACTGCGATACACAGCGATTCAACTTGGCCATGAGCCCAGTGAGACCAGTCCGAGGTGCTGACTGGGCTCGAGCTTCCGTAATCATGCCATAGCGTTTCACAGCAGCGCGCGTTGGGAAGAGCACCACAAAATTGTGGCATCGCGAGCGTTCTCCAATGGACTTCGTCAGCATCTTCAAGTTCGCATCAGAAAGCGCATTTAAAACCAGTGGCGCATGGCTGTCATCTATGTCCGGAATATCCACTTTTGGAGTTTCCTTGTTTGCTTGCTTCCAAGGCTGGGAATAAGACCCTCTCAGGCGTTCAAGCTTTGGAGTGGGTTTCTCGTTCGAGCCAATTCCAACAAGGTTGAAAGTGTCCGCCAACAGAGAGCTCTTGATTTGCCAGTCGAGTGGAGGTTCAGCCTGCATGCTTGGGCTCAAGTTCACTTCCAGCAGCCATGGCTTTAAGTCACTATCCACAAGGACATCAAATCCATAGAGTTCGAAGCAATTTTCTCGGTTTCCAATGAGCTGTTTGGTCTTGCTGCTTATGGCTGGCTCAACCGACCTTGGAGATGCAAATCCAAACCAAACAACTCTGTTGACATCCAACGGGACCAAAGGGGCAAATGCAAAAGCTAACATTGGCACTCATTTGGTGAACATAGGGAAATAAAAACTTATGTAACTGTGCACACAAAGCAACAACAGTGTTTTGACGATGAGATCCATGATTCGAACCCACATCAAGTTCACATCAACACCAATGCAACGCAAATGCTTGTTGAGTGCTGACAAACTCCATTTGTGGCCCACATTGTCAGCTCGCATGTCACTGTTTTCCACAAAGGTGTAGGAGTTCTTGTTGACTGAATAGTTTGTGAGATGCCTAAAGGCATCCTGCATGTGGTCTTCCTGGGTGCTGTATGGGGCTGAAGCGAAACGGGTCAATCCCTCACGGTAGATGTAGGCTTTCAAAGGGTCGTATGAAGTCACCAAGACGTAGACACGCAAGTCGAATTTGTAGCCTTGAATCAACAGCGGATCTGCGATGTAACGGGATACAACAACTGTCTCGTCCAATGGCAGCTCTGACAAATCCTGTAAAATGAAAATCCCTCTGCCTCTAGAGGACGCGTTCGGCTTCACTATCCAGTGACATCGTGATCGCTGATAACACTTGAGAAATGCATCGAAGTTGTCGGGCAAGACATAAGTCTCTGGGACAAAGTCAAAACAACCCTTGCCATAATTTTTGGCCATCTGGGCAAAATGCAACCACAGGCGGTCTTTCCTTGTCAACTCTGTCGAGTTTGGAAAGTGATTGATTCTTTGCCAATCCATCATGGACTGATACACCGCATCACGGATATTCGGACCTGACCATTGTATAGCATAGTCGCTACACATGGTAGGTATCATTCCATTGTGCTGAAAAGTGTCACGCAAGAGTGGAGCATCTGCATTGAGAAGGAAAGCGGAAGGAGAAGTCGACGTTCGGCTTTTGCTTGACCTGAAGGAACAAAGAAATGTATCATTCCAGTGCCTGGAATCCAGCAAAAGAAAACTAAATGACATGGAGGAGTTGACTCAGGAAGAAAACTCAAGGAGGAAACAAAGGAACACACAGTCGAAGGAAAGCAGGAACACTCCACCAAAAAGCAAGAAAGGAACACCATGCCACTTGCAATGGTCTTTACATCGTGTATCATGTTGCTCCTTTGCTCAAACAACCTCTTGAGGCGGTAGCGAAGTCTTGCCAGGCAAGGGAGCTGCTCGAAACCTAGTCTCAACCCGATAATGCCCAGGCAATTGACTTTGAGACAAAAGACTCGTTGTTGGTCTTGTTTGGCTTCTTTGCCGCTTCTAGACATTTCAGGAAAAAAGGATTTGATACAAGGGATACGAAAGCAGCAAAAAAACCGTGACATCGTGTTCTTCCAAAGGATTGACTGCTTCTTGTTCTTCTTTGTCGTCTCTTTTGCACGTGTTCTGTTGGTTTTGCAAGACATCTACTGCGCTGCTGACTGGATGGTAGGGCGATCCACGCTTCGGCCGCCCAGGGCAGCCAGCACCTGAAGTCGAAAGGATTCGTTCTAGCTTCTTGTTACTACTATTAAGGCACTTGTTACTAGAAGCGATGCACCTGTTACTACTAGCTTCTTGTTACTACTAG